AGTGGTACGATATTGATATTGATATGAGGCCGAGGGCCTGTTTGATGCCACGATATGGCTTATTATTGCGCTTGGGCCGTAAGGGGCCCCTCCCGGAGTCTGCACACCCCCAGTGAGCGCCGTCGACATTAAATAAATGGAGTGGGCTGCACGCCGCAGCGGGGTACTGGAGAGTACCGGTTTATGTGTTGCATTGCATATTTAATTGTCATTTATTCTTAATCTGATGTGACTTTATTATAATTGTTTTCAATGTTTACTGTATTATGTTATTGGTTCACGTTGTTGTATTTATAGCTTTGCTTTGTGTTTATTTAGGATTTCTTATCCTCAGACTTTATTTATATTTATTACTTTCTGAGTTGGAAGTACTCACAATACTCCCTGCATCTTGTGTGCAGATTCAGGTGCACCCACTGAGGCTGAGTGAGATCTTCTCCGCCTAGCATCACATTAGGGAGATTCAAGGTAGCTGCAAATTGGCGTTCGCAGTCCTGATCTTCCTTCTATTTTATTTATTTGTTTTTCCACATATTTAGAAAACATTATGTAGTAGGTTAATACTCATGCATTAGCGGCTCAGACTTGTGACACCAGATTCGGTGGGCTGGTTAGTATTTTATATTTTGGGTTTTCGAATGTTAGCATCTAATTCAGGATTTCGCATTTAATTTGGTATTTAGTTGTGAAAATTTACTTATTCACTGTGATTAAATCGGTTAGGGTTGTAGAAATGGTCGGGCTTGCCTAGCAGTGTGTTGGGCGCCATCACGATCGGGGTTGGGTCGTGACAATAAGCTACTTAGTTTTATGATAAATCTACTTTTTGAATTTAAATTTCGGTTAGATTTTTTAGGTTTGTTGAGATATTTTGGGATTTTTAAATTCCTCGTATGCAGATTTTTCTGCCGATTATGTTCCTAATTGGCTATTTAAAGCCTTGGTATGCTTAATAAAATAATAGAGAGACATTTCAATCTTTACTTTTGATATTTTTGCTGCCCCATCTTTTAAAAAACTAACAAATATTCTGTCACAAATATGTATTTGTCTTGTTATAAATTGGCAAAATAACCCTATCAATTATGACAATAAGCAAATAGATATACGAGATCAATTCATCATAGAAGCAATTTAAAAAGGTGAAATTTAGCTCAAGTGCTACAAGACTCAAGATGAGAGAGCAAATATTTTGACAAAGCCACTTCATAAGGATCGATTTTTCTATCTTCGAGAATTACTTGGAGTTGTAAAATAATTGCGTTAAGAAGAAATGTTAAGATTAGTGCACTTTTAATTGTATTCAACTTCTAGATTATTTAGAAAAAATTTAGCTAGTCAGTCTAGAATAGAGCAAGTTTGAGTCGAATCAATAAAGAGAGTAGTAAAGTTTGTTAAATTTTTCGAAGTAACTTTTTGTTGTTTCAAGTTCCTATACACGCCTAGATTGCTCCAGAGAGTAGTATAAATAGGAGAACTTTGTAATTCCTCTATGCAATACAAATAAGATTTTCAGAGAAAATTCCACTCCAAGGTCTACTCTTTCTTAGCTCTCTTTAAATAACTCCTTCAGGTGTAAACTTCAGCACCACAATAACAACATATCTAATCACAAGTAGGATCTGAGAAGGATGGTGAGTACGCCACTTTACCCCTACCTCGTGTAAGTAGAGAAGCCCTTCATTTCTTGAAATGTTGCCTATTCAATCAAATACTGCTAGATGTGGAATCCTTTGAACTGCTCTTAGGTTCTTACCTGCTTCAGCATCAGACAATGGAACGGCAAGCCATGGGTTTCCTTGAAGTAGCCATTGAATAAGATATATCATTCTCACTGGATGAGATGAACGCTATTTTAACAATATCATCTAACAGCATTTGTAAATTTTAATGAGAAATGTCTGACATACTATTAGTTACATCTGTTCAACGTTTCTGCATATGAGATCATCTCTTTCCTCTGAATACAGGGAAGAAATGAGGATCATGATTTTGTAAACTGTATCCTTCACCATCAGCAGGTATTCTCAGAACCTGGAAACAGGAGAAATCATGATTGACTAACCACAAAATAATTTCACAATATATTTTATTTTTAATGTTAAACATAATAGTGTTATTATAAGACTCATTCAAACCTCCAACTTAACCAACTCCCTAAGCTTTTTTTTTCATTTCCTCCTCTTCAAGCTCCTTTTCTTCTGCCTCTGCATCTATGTTGCATCCCTTGTTCTCACATTTGGGGTGGAGATCAAAATCACGCTCTTCACAACAGAAGGACCACACTCGTCCCTCGCCATTGCATCCATCACAGTTATAAAACAAGCGCTTCGTAAGTACGAGTTCATGCTCATGGAGAGCGTGATTCACATTCTCAGGCCACCCCTTTGCCATCTCCTCATATTGTGCCTCAATCTCCTTCACGCCCTCCTCTGTGAATCGATAAGCATCAGCACCATGACACATAACTAGATTTCTGGCTTCAGTTGTAACAGTCCTGCCTGTTGGCCTAATAGCAACCAACATGGGGATACCATGAACTTTGAACAGACTACTCAATCACACCTTCCTTTCATCACCAAAGGGAAGAGCCAGCCACGGCATTGTGGCAAAAAATTCATCAAAGGAGGCCTGATCTCTGTCACTAGATATGATACAACCTCTAAAGCTGTTAAAATTATAATAAACTTGTTTCCATTAGTTCACATTTATATTAAATATGTTTAGATTAGTTCATATTAGTATGAGATGTATGAACAAGTGTAGACTAATGTGAACTTCATTATGAGATGTATGAACTAGTGTAGACTAATGTGAATTTAGTTAGTGTGTTTACATGGAGTTTAGGCTAGATACATGTAGGAGTTCTACTATAAATACCCATGTATGCTAGCCATTTGGAACAAGTCAAGTTGAATGAAAAATATCATTTCTTCTCCATTCTTAAAGTGAGTTGTGAGTGTTTGAGTGTTTTGTTGTCTTGCTCTCCCAAATTATTTTTTTTTTCCAACATTTGGTATCAGAGCCGGTGTGGTTGAAGACAACAAACTTGGAGAAAAGATGACGAATTCTAACGGAACACCATTCCAAGTTCCTATGCTTACAAAAGAGAACTATGGAAATTGGTGTATTCGAATGAAGGCCTTGCTTGGTGCCTATGATGTTTGGGAACCAGTAGAGTCCGGTGTTGATGAAGCAGAAGATGTCGTTGCCTCAAAGAAGAAGGATCAAAAGGCACTCACTCTCATCCATCAAGGTTTGGATGACAAGATGTTCGAGAAGGTTGCAAATGCAACAACTTCCAAGGAAGCATGGGATATTCTTCAAACTTCTTTTAAAGGTTTGGACAAAGTGAAAAAAGTTCGCCTCCAAACCTTAAGAGGAGAGTTTGAATCATTGCATATGAAGGAAAATGAATATGTTGTGGATTATATTTCGAGAGTTTTGGCTATTGTCAATCAAATGAAAAGATATGGTGAAGAGTTGAAAGACGATAGGGTCGTGGCAAAAATACTACGATCCTTAATTTCAAAATTTGATTTTATTGTTGTTGCCATTGAAGAGTCCAAAGACTTGGACACCATGATCATAGACGAGCTTTCGAGTTCCTTGCAAGCACATGAAGAGAAGTTGAAGAAACCGAAAGAAGAATCGGTTGAACAAACGTTGCAAGCAAAATTTTCTTTCAAAGAGAAAGATGAAAGGCGTGGCTTGCAACAAAGAGGCCGTGGAAATGGAAGAGGTCGTGGTAGAGGCGGAAGAGGAGGTAGTCAACCACCTTCAAGTAGAGAAAATAAAGGCCAAGACTTTAATTCAAGAAGAGGTCGTGGAAGAGGGAAAGGATGGAGGCAAAATCAAGGAAGGTATGACAAATCAAATATTGAATGTTATACTTGTCATAAATTGGTCATTTTTTGGGAATGTAAAGATAACTTTTGAAGAGAAAATAATTTCGTGGAGAGCAAAAAATGAAATGAAGATGCCACCTTACTTCTCGCATGCAAAGGAGAAGAAAGTGCCGAGAAGCACCGATGGTACCTTGATTCCCGTGCAAGTAGCCATATTTGTGGAAAGAAGGATTTATTTGTGGAACTTGAAGAGTTGAATCGTGGCACAATCACTTTTGGAGATTCTTCACGTGTTAAATCAAAGGAAAAGGTACGATTTTATTCGCTTGAAGGATGGAAGTCATCAATTAATTTCTAATGTTTTATATGTGCCGGAGATGAAAAGTAACATTTTGAGTTTGGGACAACTTTTGGAGGAAAATTATGACATTCATTTGAAAGATAAAAAGTTGTTTATGAGAGATGAAAGGGAGATTATTAGCTAAAGTTCCTATGGCTAATAATAAAATGTTCATTTTAAATCTTCAAAATGATGCTCCAAGATGCTTACTTTCATGTGCCAAAGACTCCTCTTGGCTTTGGCATATGAGATTTGGTCACTTGAATTTTGATAGCTTAAGGTTGATGGATAAAGAAACATGGTGAATGGATTGCCAAGTATTAATCATCCCAACCAATTTTGCGAAGGATGTATCTTTGGAAAGCAAGCTAGAAAAAGCTTTCCTAAAGAGTCTTTGACAAGAGCAAGATGCCCTTTGGAGTTAATTCACATGGATGTTTGCGGACCTATCAAGCCATCTTCGATTGGTAAAAGTAATTATTTTTTACTTTTCATTGATGATTATTCTACAAAAACTTGGGTTTATTTTTTTAAAGGCAAAATCAGAGGTGTTTGAAACCTTTAAAAAATTCAAGAGGATGGTGGAGAAACAAAGTGGCTATCAAATTAAGTCACTTCGGTCGGACAATGTGGGAGAATTCACCTAAATGAATTCAAAGTTTTTTGTGAGAAAAATGGAGTTCGCCATTTTTTAACCGTGCCAAGATCACCACAACAAAATGGCGTTGTGGAAAGAAAGAACCGGACCATTCTTAACATGGTGAGGAGTATGTTGAAGAGCAAAAAATATGCCAAAGGAATTTTGGGCTGAAGCTGTTGCTTGTGCGGTATACTTACTAAATCGTTGCCACACAAAACGTGTTCATGGAGAAACACCTCAAGAGGCATGGAGTGGTTTCAAGCCAAAAGTTTCTCACTTGCGAGTTTTCGGAAGCATTGCATATGCACATATACATGATGAAAAGAGGACCAAGCTCGATGACAAAAGTGAGGGTATGTTTTATTGGTTTGATTCAAAATTCTAAAGGTTATAATTGTATAATCCCAAAATGGCAAGGTCACTTTGAGTAGAGATGTTGAGTTTGATGAAGATAGTGCTTGGGATTGGAAGACTAAAGAGCAAGATTACTCTTTTAGTCCATTATTTGATGATGATGAAGAAGATGTGGAGCAACCTATCTCACCACTATCAACACCTCCGCCACAAAATCAAGAAGTGGGAGGACAAGTTCAAGTTCAAGTGAAGCACCTCACAAGAGTAGAAGTCTCCGTGACTTGTATGAAAACACGGAAGTGGTAAGAAATGATTTATATGATTTTACTCATTTTTGTTTATTGGTGGATAGTGAGCCTATAAGCTTTGAGGATGCATTCCAAAATTCCAAATGGAGAGATGCCATGGATGAAGAAATCAAGGCAATAAAAAAGAATGAAACATGGGAGTTGGTCACACTTCCAAAAGGAAAAAACACCATTGGAGTCAAATGGGTGTACAAGCTAAAGAAGAATTCCAAGGGTGAAGTAGAAAAGTACAAAGCAAGATTAGTAGCTAAAGGATACAAGCAAAAAGCAGGTATTGACTATGAAGAGGTATTTGCACCGGTTGCTCGTTTGGAAACAATTCGCTTTGTCATTGCCTTGGCCGCCCAAAATCAATGAAAAATCCATCAAATGGATGTGAAGTCAGCTTTTTTGAATGGCGTATTGGAGGAAGAAGTCTACATTGATCAACCTTTGGGCTATAAGGTTGAAGGACAAGAAAATAAATTCTTGAAATTGAAAAAGGCTTTATATGGGTTGAAGCAAGCTCCGCGGGCTTGGAATAGTATTGATAAATATTTTCAAGCAAATGGTTTTTCAAAATGTCCACATGAACATGCACTTTATGTAAAAATTGCTAAAAATGGAGACATTTTACTTGTTTGCTTGTATGTAGATGACTTGATTTTTACAGGAAATAATCCTAAGATGTTTGAAGAATTCAAGGAAGCAATGGCTAGAGAATTTGAGATGACGGACATTGGATTAATGTCCTACTATCTTGGCATTCAAGTGCAACAAAGGAAGGATGAGATTTTTATTTCTCAAGGAGAATATGCAAAGGAAATTCTCAAGAAGTTCGAGATGGATAATTGCAATCCCGTGAGCACCCCCGTTGAATGTGGAGTTAAAATATCCAAGCATGGAGATGGAGAAAATGTAAATCCCACATTTTTCAAGAGTCTTGTTGGAAGCTTAAGGTACTTGACATGCACAAGGCCGGATATTCTTTATGGTGTTGGACTTGTGAGCCGCTTTATGGAAGCTCCTACTACCTCCCATTTAAAGGTAGCAAAAAGAATACTTCGGTACATCAAAGATACACTTGATTATGGAATTCTTTATTCATCTTCTAAGGATTCTAAGTTTGTGGGATATTGTGATAGTGATTGGGCTGGTGATATTGATGATCGTAAAAGTACTACTGGGTTTGTTTTCTTTCTTGGAAATTCTGCATTTACATGGAATTCTAAAAAACAACCAATTGTTACTTTGTCAACTTGTGAGGCGGAGTATGTTGCAGCTTGCTCATTTGTTTGTCATGCAATTTGGTTAAGAAGTTTGTTGGAGGAACTTCACCAACCACAAAAGGATGCCACAAAGATTTTTGTTGACAACAAGTCGGCTATCGAGTTAGCCAAAAATCCTGTATTTCATGAAAGGAGCAAGCATATAGATACAAGGTATCACTTTATTAGAGATTGTATATCTAATAAAGTTGTGGAGCTTGAGCATGTGAAGTCGCAAGATCAAATTGCGGATATTTTCACCAAGCCATTAAAGATTGAAGTTTTTCAAAAGCTAAGGATGGCGTTTGGAGTGATGAAACAAGTTTAAGGGGGGATGTTAAAATTATAATAAACTTGTTTCCATTAGTTCACATTTATATTAAATATGTTTAGATTAGTTCATATTAGTATGAGATGTATGAACAAGTGTAGACTAATGTGAACTTCATTATGAGATGTATGAACTAGTGTAGACTAATGTGAATTTAGTTAGTGTGTTTACATGGAGTTTAGGCTAGATACATGTAGTAGTTCTACTATAAATACCCATGTATGCTAGCCATTTGGAACAAGTCAAGTTGAATGAAAAATATCATTTCTTCTCCATTCTTAAAGTGAGTTGTGAGTGTTTGAGTGTTTTGTTGTCTTGCTCTCCCAAATTAATTTTTTTTTTTCCAACAAAAGCATCATCATTCGCTTTAATCTTGTCATATGCTTCTATAAGCTTTGGTAGGAAAGCACGGCACGGAGGACACCAGTGTGCAGAAAAGCAAAGAAGAACATTCTTCCCAACAAGATCAGACACTGGAATCTACAAAAAAAAATCTGTGATGACTGACTGTAATTGTGGGAATGCAGGCAAAGACATCAACAGAAATG